GGTGACCCTGCTCAGGCAGGGGGTGGCACTGAGTGATCTCCAGAGCTCCCTTCCAACGGTGAACATTCTGTGACTCTGATTCTGTGCTTTAGAACGGTGCCTGGCTGGTGTTTTTGCCCTGGCATTCTCCCCTGTGCAGTCACTGGGGGGCTGTGATCTCAGCCCCACTGTTGTCTGATCCTGGTGGGGGAGAAGGGTTCCCCAAGCTCGGTCCCTCAAGGGTGGGCAAAGCGAAGCTGCTGTGTTGGGGTGCACTGGGAGGACGAGCCGAGTCAGCAGTGGGAGAATGAAAAAAAAAAACACAAACTAAACAAACCACAACCAAAAATCGAAACCTATTGAGTCATAAACTCAACAAACTCGACAGGGCAGCCGCGTGATAAAGCCTCTTCAGAGCCTGTTGCACCAGGTTTTACAGGACCCAGCCAGATCTGGGATAGGCAGAAAATGCACTGAACTCACCCACACCCAGGGACTTCCCGGCTCACGGGCTGGACCAGTAGAAGAGGAAGAGGAGGAGGAGGAGGAGGAGGAAGATGCTTCCGCCCAGACCACATCTTTAAGTCCTCTTGCGTGCCTCCAGGGTTGAACCTTGGGCTAGACATGGGATATGTAGTTCTGTTCTGGCCTGGCTGTCTCTGAGCAGGTCCTGCCTCTCGTTTTCTGCCTGTTTTGCGTACGTAGGTGCTGGGGCTGGGAAGGAAACCTCTGGCAACGGTGGGATTTGCTGGAAATGTTGGCTGTCAGGGGGGCTGACAATGTGTTTGTGTCCTCCCCAGTTGTGCTCATCGGGGACTCCGGTGTGGGGAAGAGCAACCTCCTCTCGCGCTTCACCCGCAATGAGTTCAACCTGGAGAGCAAGAGCACCATCGGGGTGGAATTTGCCACGAGGAGCATCCAGGTGGACAACAAGACTGTGAAGGCTCAGATCTGGGACACGGCCGGGCAGGAGCGGTACCGCGCCATCACCTCAGCGTGAGTTTCCTTGCTGCTCATCCGGGTCCCTTATCTGGGGCCCTGCTGTGACCCTGTCCCCTCGCTGTCCCCCCAGGTACTACCGAGGGGCAGTGGGAGCTCTGCTTGTCTACGATATCGCCAAGTACTTGACCTACGAGAACGCTGAGCGCTGGCTGAAGGAGCTGCAAGATCACGCTGACGCCAACATCGTGATCATGCTGGTG